GATAATACAATGTATTTATGTAAACATCAACAGTTATACATTGTATTATCTATGTAAACATCAACAGTTGATAATGCAATGTATAACTGTATAGATAATAAAATGTATGTGACGGTGGCAGGAATTTACTGTTCACCATCGAAAACTTTAGATGTAAACCTTATAAACTATATTCAGCCATATAATTGAAATACCATCATAATAGAAGATTTAAGTAGCAAGCATCGATTTTTTTAGATGCAGAGACACTAACTTTAACGACAGATAATTGATATAATTCTTGAACATCTCAAATATTGTGCTACTAAATGATCCCACCTCTACATATACTTCTGATTCATAAAATACCAGTGACATACTGGACCTGTACCTATGTTCTTATAACATGAAAGAAAAACATAAATTATAAAAAAACAAACTGGAATGAATATAGATAATTCCTAGACCAATCTTTACCGACAAAAAAAAAATACCCCAAAAATGCCCCGAACGCATCAGAAATAGATGCATACTGTCAAACAATCACTGAGTGTCTCAAAAGCCACACAAAACACAAACAGTCACCAAATGATATACATAGCAACCACATACACGACTAATAAACACGATAAAAGAAAGACGACAGCTACGGAGACAAATAATGGAAAATAGAGATTAAACAATTAAACACAAATAAATACACTCAGAAACAAAATCAGAACACAAATCAAAGCACTAAAACAAGAAAACTGGAACCAGTATTACTCAAAATTGAATGAAAAAAAACAGACCAAAAGCAGTTCTGGACACATTTAAAACGATTCACAAATGCAGGAAACCCGACACGTACTTATCCATGACCACGGCACACACAGAAACAAAGACAAAGCTGAAACATTTAAAGAACACTTAAAACACACATTCAAGACCCACCATGAACCAAACATGAGTACACATTTCTATAACGAAGTAAATAACTACATAATACAAAACATAAATATGTGCACATCACATTTCCCAACAAATTTAAACAATGAACACACAAATGATGATAAAAAACATAAATTATAGAACACAACAAATGACAAAAATTATAACAGAAATAGACGCAACACAAGTAATTAAAGCAACAAAAAACAAATTTCCGGGAGAAGATGGCATTCAGGCTGTTCTCCTCAAGAAAAGTGCCCAGAGACTGTTTAACAGCTAATAGCTTATTTTAACCTATCACTAAATTCAGAATACATCCTTGTTTGTTGGAAGCAAGCGACTGTTTTAATGTTCCACGGAGAAGAAAAGCCAGCGAATAAACGGAACAGCTACCGCCCAATCAGCCTAACCAGCTGCATAGGAAAATTTTGGAAAGAATAATTAGTAATTTCCTGAAACACAAAATGAGTTTAGAAAATTCAGACAAACATCAGACCACCTAGTGAGACTAACTGAAACGATAATAGACACTTTTAATAAGAAAGAATGCACTGTAGCATGCATATAGAGAAGGCTTTCGGCAGTGTATGGCATAGCTGAATGGGGTTCCGCATGTCAGAAATGAAACTGCCGCGCGGTATTATTATCAAACTTTCTGGAATACATAAAATGTAAAGCAAATGTTGAATGAACCTTCTCGGAGTCATTTACTCCAGAGGCAGGGCTCCCACAAGGTGCGGTTAGTCCTATTCTATTCATCATGTATGTTAGCAACATGTCCCTCAAAGATTCAAATCAAGGATATTCATCACAATTTGCTAATGATGTTGCGGTCTGGAAAAATGCACACACTTTCAATAGCAGCAACAAATCTACAACCACAATTAAACACACTTTCAATAGCAGCAACAAATCTACAACCACAATTAAACACACTTTCAATAGCAACAACAAATCTACAACCACAATTAAACACACTTTCAACAGCAGCAACAAATCTACAACCACAATTAAACACACTTTCAACAGCAGCAACAAATCACAACCACAATTAAACACACTTTCAATAGCAGCAACAAATCTACAACCACAATTAAACAACTTTGTGAAATATTGCCAAAAATATCAGATCAACATAGATGTCCCCAAAAATCAACTGGTAGCATTTGCAAAGTTAACAAAACATAAAAAAGTCCCACCCAAATTATACATGAATGGAACACTTCTCGAGACCACAACATCAGCCAAATTCCTCGGATTAACATATGATTCTAAATTAACGTGGATAAAACATATTAATAATATCATAACAAAAGTTTGGCAACGCACGAATTATGTCAGGAGTCTAACGGGCAAAAACAACGGAACTGCAGCCGAGAACATTATCACAATTTACAAAACATACATACGCCCAGTAATCAAATGTGCATGCCTGGCATGGATTAATATAGCACCAAAACACATAAATAAATTGCAAAATTCGTTACTAGCTACAGCATACAAAGTACCCAGATCCACATCCTCAAAATTTCTGCACAAATATTCAAATGTAGAAACACTCTCCGATAAACTCCAAGAAAATTCGCTAAATTACTTCGCACAGAATTTGCACAAAAATGATCTGTTGTGTGAATTAGATCGTTACTGCGAACATTAAGATAAGCGTAAGTTCTTCTCACCTCTTAATATTTATAATAGAAATAAAAAATTAACAAGGCCACCTAACACCAGACTAAGACACCAACATTAGTTTTATGTTTATACGATAGAGTGTTATATGTAAATGCTCTCGATGAGCAATAAAACCGATGTCATGTGATAAATACATGTAGAACTGTAAATATATAGTGTATTTATCATACAATGTCAATGTAAGTATCTACATGGACATTGTCCTGAAAGGGGTCAGAGTAAGTACGGGACACTTTGACCTTCATCTGGTATTTAAATTTATATTCACCCGAAACACAAACACTTACCAGGGTGGAGGATTGTTGTTGTTGTTTGAAGTTAAGCATAAAGCTACACAATGGGCTATCTGTGCTCTGCCCACCACAGGTATCGAAATCAAGTTTTTAGCGTTGTAAGTCCGAAGACATACCGCTGTGCCACTGGGGGAGGGGGGCAGAGGTCCTATGGAACCTGACCCTCCCAGGTCTGTAAAACCTAAATACTTATAATAAGACGATAGTACAGACCGAAATGTCGTACTATTTAACGAACAATGTTTAAAATATCAACGATTGTTTGTTTGTTTTGAATTTCGCGCAAAGCTACCGAGGGCTATCTGCGCTAGCCGTCTCTGATTTAGCAGTGTAAGACTAAAGGGAAGGCAGCTAGTCATCACCACTCACCGCCAACTCTTGGGCTACTCTTTTACCAACGAATAGTGGGATTAACCGACACATTATAACGCCCCCACGGCTGAAAGGGCGAGCATGTTTGGTGGGATGGGGATTCGAACCCGCGAACCATCTGGCCATGCCGGGCCTAAAATATCAACGAAACATTAAAACGAAAATGAATAGCAATGGGCAAAAGTAACTTATAAATTATTATCCTCCATTCATCTGCAAAGAACAAGGTAACATTTATAGTATGAATCATTTGATTTGTTTAGGAAAAAACGAGAAATAGCTTAATTCTTAAATAGTTGATTTCGTAAAATTTTCGGTCACAAAATAAATAATTTAACCATTTAAATGACTCAATTACATTCAAGTAATTTTTATAAATATTTCGTAGTGTGATAACTGTGATGTTATTGTTACAATATCATTCATTATTCACACTTTGTCGTTCTGTATTGAAGAGGATAAACCTGAGAGGAAACAAAGTGTTATTTCCGTAACTCAATTGTTTTTTGTTTTTTATGCTTGTCTAAGACGGCCAGGGAAAGAAAATAATGTGGTACTTGTTTAAGTTCAATTGAATATTTTGGATATAGTGGATGTTTGAACTTCGTTTTCAGTAATTTGTAAGAATCAAATTATTATTTTAACGACTTGTAATCGCAACAAAAAAACAAAACTTGTCCTGACAAAAAATAAAGATATTCTCATAACCTCCTGGTATGTTTTACTTCCATGCTTTATAACGAAACCAATTATTAGAACAATGAATATCAGTGGTTTAGAAACGGCTTAGTTGACATGAAGTATAATGTTGTATAAGTTGGTGGTAAATTGATCTTAAAAGCCTTGCCGTGTTATAAAGCAAGAATAAAGATTTTTTTTCCCTTTCTTCACGACTCAAATAAAGGAAGTATTTTATAAATGGAAGATAATTGAACTTTTTACTAAAGCTTCCGTACAGTGATATATCTATATATTTTCATGCATTAATGGATATACCTTGATTCTTTCAGAAGCCCACATGTTGAGAGGACGCAGTAATAACGAGTTTAAACCTATCCATTCGGAAGAGCAGGTATGACGAGAATTGTAGGAGTCACCGGGTGTGTATGTATCATAACTACCGAATGGCCCAATAAACCCAAAGCTTCAAACGTGAGTCTTCCTGAAAGTTAAGGACTACTTCATTATAGAAACGGCACAAGGTTTTCTAATTTTACAAGTGGCGTTATCGATGTCACATAATCTATATTGTCCAGAGCCATAATTGTACTCTCTGTACGGTCACGAACTCGTAGTATTTAAGGCTTATCTAATTCAGAAGAATAATTGTTCTCAATAAATTGATTTTATGTCATCATAAAGCTTCGTGCCTTTCCACAGTCTTCAGCGTTTGTTTCAAATTCTGGAGGACTGTTTAACAACGATTTAATTTCATGTGAATTTTGGTGTTAGTTGTAAAAACTGAAGCAATGTTTTTGACAAATAAAGAACGTTCCAAACGTCTCTCTCAAGTGACATTAGACACGGATCACAGATTAGCCTTAATCTTGTCAGTGGTGTGTTGGTTGAATGCGATCTTGGAAAATCTAATCTCCTGAGACAAAACTGCAGACGAAATATTTACAAGGAAGACAAAGGTACAATGGAGGTTTTGTTTGTTGTGGTAGCACTGGTTTGTGGTCTGACAACAGTGAGGACGGACACAGACGACACCCGACTCATTAGGGATTACTTTGGGGACATGTTTACTTTGTCCAAAAAAGACTGTAGCGCTATCCCTTGTGACCGGCTTAGTCGTATGGCCGCAGCGATGCCTGGACGTGATTGTAAGTGTCAGTGTGCTCCTTCCCATCCCACCTTTCGTGAGGACATACGTGAATGTGTGAAGGACCTGAGAGGTGAGTTTTTTTTTTTTTAACGTCTACCTATGTTCAATTAATAACATGCAAAATGAAACAGTACAACTTTAAGTAACGCAAGCTTATAGACAGAGGCGGATTGTCATTAAAGGATCGGCTCAGGCAATATCACATGCTGCATACTGGCTAAACAATTCAAATTTAAAATCAGTTTCTAAGAATGTGTCAAATGCACCGGCCCATGAGGCAATCGTCGAGTGCGCCAGTTCGCCCCTGCTGATGGTTCAGTGTTTCTAGAGTACGTATTTGCTGATATATTATCTCTCGTTGTCCTTGTTTCATCTGTTGAAAGGAAATCAGAGAAATCAAAAAGAAAATAAGGTTACTCGGAGTTTTCTGTAGTTTTAGACCAACGTCAGATTTTTAAATCTTAAAAAAGCCTTATCACTTTTGAAATAAGTACAAATCCAATTCCAAATCATTAACTATACGGATGCATCTTACTTTTTTACAAATATTCTACAGATTTGTAGAATATTAATATAACTGTCATTGTACAACATGAAGATCAGAAGAAGAGTGGCGTACTGAACGAATTATACCAATCACAAACGTTCGTGACACAACGTTCTAACTTCGTAAAGGTTTCTAAAATACTTGTGTACTTGTTTATTGTTGAAATATCATGTCCTAGTTATATTGTTGTGTTAATGGCAAGAGTCTGATGTTGAGAGTATCGTAACCGCTCAAAAAATCATATAATGTTTATTTCAACTCTATCCGTGAGCCTTTTTTGATGGGAAAATTAAACTTTTAATAGAGGCCTTCATCAATCAAAACTAATGCATTTCACTGATAAGTAAGTCATCGTTTCGAAAGCATTAATTTTGTATAAGAATTTTTACTACAAATAAAAATAATTTGTCCATTGACTATAAGGTAATTTCAACACTTAAAAATCGAATGAAGTAGAGACAAGGCCTTATCTGTGGGTTGTGGTATCGAAACCCGTTGTCGAACATACTCGCCTTTTTCAGCTATTTATTGGTAAAGAGTACTCCTAGAGTTGACTGTGAGTGATGTTGACTAGCTGCCTTCCCTTTAGTCTACCACTTTAAAATTAGAAATGGCTAGCGCAGATAGTCCTCAAGTTGCTTTGTACGAAATTCAAAAATCAAACAAACAATTATCCCATATTTAATGAAGACAAACATTTATTGTATCATATCTTACATCAAAGTTTTGCATTCTATCCCATCAATTTGACAGAAATTGTTAAGGAATAAGGTAAAATAAATGTACCTATTCAATTTATGTTTCTTCTTGGCAGAAAATTAGGGTAAATTATGTAAATTGTGATAGAACATTTGAAAATATGTTGTCATGTTTATGAACACGTGGCCCGAATCGTCATTCATTTTAATTTGATAACGTAAATATTCTTAATAAAGAAAAAATACTGAAAGTCAATAAAAGAACAGATGATTTACTGAGAAAATGATGGAAATGAATAAATATCGAGTTTGTATCTTCTTTTTTTTTTTGAGGTTATCTTATTTCCAGTCGTGTTCCAAATGCTACTTAGATAAAGTATGTGACATATAATGTCAGTTAAGGTATGTGACATACAATATCACTTCACTTACTGTAGTTGTAACATGATACTTTTCAGATTAATATGGTTGTGTTGCACGATTTTATTATTATTTTACTGAGTTTTATTTGAAATAATCCAATTTTCTTGCTACTTTATGATATTGTTATTGTCTCTTGACACTGATGATTGTACACAAGAAGTATTTAACAGTGAAAAGGCTAACTGTTACATGCATCAGTTATATCTGATATTCCCTTCATCCCGATTTTTGATAAAGAAACATGCGAAACTAACGAATCTAAAATCATAATTTCATGCCTTGTTCCTTTGATGAAGCGCAAATAATTTGAAAATTTCAGAGATGATCGTAATTTACAAACATAAAGTACCACATGCTTCAGAGATCGGAATAAATACCATATCAGCCTAGATCTGACATTTCTAAATTTTAAGTGACTGACATGCCTTATGCTCTACCATGCTTGTATTATTGCACAGTACAATCCTTAATGTTGAAATAATAACTTTTTCTTCTCTCATATGTAATAGGTTCAGAGTAATACTATGTGAAAGTTCACTAGAAAAACTAATTCTAAGCCTATTACTTGTAACTTGCTCTCTATGAAACATTTATTCGACATGACATACAGAATGACTATCGCAGATAATTTCTTATCTCAGTAATAATTAAAACAAAAACACGAAAAAGTGTAAACGGGAGAATAAATAGTATTATTTATTTTGACTCCAGTCAGATGTTTTAACTTTCTGCGAATGGTTTAGAAAAATGGTCAAAAGTTTTACCAAGCGAGCACAACTAATAGTATGCCTAGCTCACAAATAAACTTAATTACAGAATTTCTTTGTCAATAGAGACGATAACTCTCAGAACTAACACTGAACTGAATCACTCGTGGAATACTCATTACTCATTAACTGACTGTTTCATTTGGTTGCGTATTTATATAGTTATCTTGTATCTACGCAACGCACGAAATTAGTGGATTGTACAGAAATCTTAACTTTCATGAACTTTCTTGATATATTGCTTATCATCATGATTAACTTTCTTTAATAAACAAATATCTAAATTAAAATATAGCTTACAACAATACACTGGAAATTAATGTCTCATCGCTAGCTAAATTAAAGATTATTGGTTTCGCCACTAGGGAAAGTCTTATTAGGTTTGTTTTAGAACAAAGCTACATTGGGCTATCTGCTGTGTCCATCGCAGGGAATCGAACCCCGGATTTAAGCGTTGTAAGTCCGTAAACTTACCGCTGTCCCACCGGGGGAAGATCTTAATAGGAAAGAAGCTCACTTAAAACAAGAAAAAAGCGAGTCACTTAAGCTTGTACAAGGCATTTTATCACAATAACAGTTTTTTTTAGGTAAGGTAATATTGAGTTATAATCTTTTTTAGATAAGATAATATTCAGTTTATATTTTCCTTAATTTCTTTACTTTGAAGTTTAAAAAATAGTAGTCATTTTTCACTCTATTTAATATTACTCACAAATGGTTAGAAATAATGTAATCGTTGGGAACTTGTTTCTTTTTCTAGGAATCTGTATTATTGCAGTTTCTATGGTTACCGTCCCAGGGCGCTATACAACATATGGAAACAAGAAAGGTTGTTTAAGCAAAAAGATATACAATGAGTTGGCTGTGCTATGCCAACCGTGGGTATTGAAACCCTCAGACTTACCGTTGAGACACCGAGGGTTAAAAAAAAAAAAGAAACTGTTAGAACGCCTTTGATTTTCAATCCGAAATGGGCAAATTAAGAGGAATGTGTGGAAAAAATCTACTTAAAACGTAATTTTTATCACATACTTTGTAAAATGGAACATTTTCATGTGCTGTTGGAAACAATTTCTCAATTCGTTAGCGGTGATCGAAATAAAAAATATGTGATGTCCGTTTATCACTTACAATGTTGATTACTTTCAGATCAAAAGTCAACACCAACGTGAATCATGCTTAACAAATCAACTGGACAATTTTATCAAAAAGTAGGTGCAGTTTACTTGACCTTTCCAATGAAACCAAGTGACTCCAAACCCCCTTCCCCCCGTGTCACAACGGCGATTCTGAGAGCTTATTACGCTAAAAATCGGGGTGGGGGGGTTTATATCCGTGGTGGCCAGAGTACTGATAGCCTATTGTATAGCTTTTTCCTTAACAACAAAGAAACAAACAGGCTACATTCATGTTTCAGTCGGCAACTCGATATGAAGAGAAGGATAGCAAAATGCTCTATCTGTAGATATGTTTGTTTTTTACATATCTTAGATTTGAAAATTTTGGTTTTAGATTTTCCCTTTGAAAAATTTTCTAGTTTAGGTTTATATAATAATAATAATAAATTGTAATAACCCTATTACAAACTGCGGTATGTCCAAACTGAAAACGCAGAAAACAATAGCATGAACTGACTGTTATCATTCTAAAGTTATATGTTCAATGTTAAAAATTTCTTCTATACAGTAATGTAAATAATTATGGAAACACATAAGCAACACACTTACAGGAGTGACGAACAACGAGTAAAGACATTTAGATAGTGAATTTATTAATGGTACAAAATAGTATCACAGAAAATACATAAGGAAAGGAAATAAGTTGTACAACGAATGTACAGTGTACTAGTATTTTGTTTGTGAGACTTTTGCTTTACACCTTATTTTCATTTACCATACAGTTTATCAATATACAGTTGCGGAATATTGTTTTAAATGTTCTATATTACTTCGCACAATTCAGCCAAGTTCTTAGAGGCCTTTATACCTTCTCAATTCTTACATCAGCCCATACAGCCTCAGGGATGTCCACGGTTGAAAGTGTCCCATCAGCCTTTTTACAATGATATACGTGTGAGGTCATTATCTTGCTGGAAGATAAAATCCAGCCCAACGAGTCGTGTTCCTGAAAGATGTATTAGATTCTATATGTACTTGTCAGCTGTCAGGGTAACATCTATTTTGTGTCCACCGATACCAATAACTGAGATACAGCCCCAAACTTGTACTGTTCCTCAAACATGCTTCACTCTAGTTGTTGTACATTGACAGTAATACTGTTTTCCTCTCTCTGTCATGGAACGAACTATCCTTAATTTTTACCAGAAATTTCGAATTTGGATTCATGTGTAAGTAGCACACATCTATAGTGTTACGTATTCCAATGTTTGTGGGTTGGTGCCCATTTCATTCTTTTGGTTTGGTTACCTCTTCTCAGTAGCGGTTTTCTAGCAGCTGCATGTCCATCGAAAAATCACTTTGTTCTGATGTATATTCTACTGTTTTTGAGGTAACATACACACCTGTATTTACAGTGGTTGTCAGTATCTGTATTCAACCGTCATCTATCTTGTAAAGAACATGCCATGGGATATTTAACAACATAAGTGGAGAGTTTCAATTTTCTACCTCGACCACTTCTATTATTAACAGTATCAGTTACATGTACCCTATTTCGAATCTTGCACACAGCTGCTATTGAAACATTGTTGCCACAATTTTTCCCATTTAATTTCCTTAATCGTCCAAAATTTTTATTTCTACACGCTTGTCATGCGATATTTTAGTGCTGGCAGCCATTACAATACCACACTATTATTACTGTCAATATGTAACTGTATTTTGGTGCAATTCATTTTGCACGCGATATAGCGGTGATTTTACCTTAGTATTTGTCTTTTCCTTTACATTTTGCATAATTATTTCTAGTACTATATAATATAAACTGACAACGTGACCTTAGTTTTAATTTATAATTTTAAACTCAAATGATATTGAAAAACTGTATATCTGTAGTTTCCCATTCCTTGGGATGTTATGTTTTGAAGATATTGATTTGCAGTTTTGATTGAATCAGTCGTTAAAAATAAGTAAACAAAAGGGGTACAAAGTACTTTAAGCTGAACGTTAGAGTTCAAATTTCTTAGGCGCAATAATATGAGTTAAAATCTAATGTTAAAAATAACATAAAATATTAATGCAAAACATGTTAATGCACATTATGTAACGAAACTCACGCATGGTTGACCTAGAACCGCAGATACGAGCCATATAATTAGCACTGTTTATGCATTGTACAGCGGTGATGCACTATTGGTTATATAATAAAATCAAGATAAATAATAGTTTACTTACAAATCAATACTGTTATTGTAATTTATTTATTTAGTTATTCTTACAGAATGTCCTGTTGCAATGTTTGTGCGTCCTTATACTGTTGAAAAGTTTCCCCTGGTGTCACTTCCTATGACTGGTCAACTCGTTTATCCTGGGGCACACCTTGTTGTTTCAGGTAAGAAAACCCGTGGTTTATCATGTATAAATGGTCATTAATATCCTTCAGTAAATTACTTATCTGGAAGTTTACATGCCTTTTCAAAATATTTTGATTCAATCCAATCTCGTTTGCTGTATACTTATGAGGCCGAGTCGAATTACAGATGCACATCTAGCTTGTTCGAAGAAACACCTTTGATGCTACTGTCAACGTACAAGAAGATAGCTACAATGTATCACCACAACGTTACCTGGTTGCGCCATCTTTTGAACATTTTAACAAATATAATAAAATATCTTCCCTATTAAAATAATTGAAAGAGAGTTTTCCACATTCTTAATAACTAGACATTAACTTGCAATACGAATGTCTAGATAGTTGAGTTATAAGTGTGTAATAAACATCTCTGAACCAATTAATGTAATTAGCATATATATAACATGAGTGGTAAAAATGTATAACGTAAAATCACCCGTGCTTCGTGTATGAACTATCTGGAAGGCACAGAAAAGTACCTATTTTACAACAAAGAAATAAGATGACAAAGTTATATGTGTATAAACTGGAACAGTATTTTTAAAGTTTTCAGTTGCGAATTTTTAGAAAATTTTGGAAAAATCTATACTCATGATTATATACGTGATAATGGTTGATAACAAAATGGTAATTACTTTTACAGGAAACAAAATATATCAATATACGTATCAGAAAATAAAAGCATTCATTTAACGTGTCGAAAAAAGGTGGAGTAGATAAAATTACAGTGAAGACTATGGAAATCAATTCTCAATGAACCATCTACTTCGTCACCTTTTTTTGTTTTGTTCTTATAAGCAGTTAAGATGGATAGGTAAAACCAAATGTAATTATTCCGCTTGAAAGTCACAGAATTATGAAGTACCAACACAGAGTTAGTTAATATTTGTTGTGAATACATCTGGTAAGTGGTGGTTTTGTTTCATTTCTCCTATGTTTGTTAGGTGTTAGGATGGAAAACCCTGTTCAGTCCTTACATTGTGAAGTGAAGAAGGTGGAACTGTTGTCGTCTCGTGGCTGGAAGGAAGTCACTAAACCTGGCAAAAATCACATGTTTGAACTGTATCAAGATGGTGCCAAAACCTTTCTTCAGGTGACGAAGGAAACATTTATAGTTCACATCGAATTTTTCAAGTGCAAATACTTAATATTCTATAGGGACAAATTGTTTTTGATGCTGTTCATCTGTTTATATCTGACTGTTTATATCTACTGTACAGTAATTTACTAAAGTATCACTTCAGCTTCTTTGCAACATTAATTTTAAAACCAGATTTTGTTATTGTTATTACTGGATACTAGTTACAGAAATTAAACTAACGTGGTACCTCATATACATATGTGTGTGTGTAGATCGTTCATTGTATATATATATATATATACATATATAACTACCTCCCTATAAATCATCTGTACATTTTCTTCAAAAAAGTTAAAAATATACTTTAAAGCCACAGGTGAAAGCTTACGGAAACAACTAAGGCTTTCTCAACGACCCTCATTCTCCAACATTTGTCGCTTACGTATGTAACGGGCATTATCTTCCAGTTGCTTAAAACTACGAGGGATCGTTGTAAAACATATATTCCATAATACCTCAAATGAACAATACCTTACTCAGCCTTGCACCCGTGGCGTTAAACTAATCTTACAAAGCTATGGGTTACTTTTCATATTCATAACATAACATTAAAGGGCAAAGGATATTTTAGTACATATAGGCCGTCCTATCCACTGAATTAAATTAAACACTAAAAATTCAAAGCCAGCCAGCCCTTACCATTCAAGTACTTATCACATTTTCCCTTACCCTTACTTAAATTAACTGCATCCACCACATTCCAAAGTCAAATCTTCATGTTAGAAAAATAAAGCTGTCTTAGCTAAAGTTGACTCCTACTCTGCCAAAATTTATATTTGTGCCTCGTAGTCTTAGCATTCACATCACTAAATACTAAAAAAAGATAATGCATCAACACTATCAATTCCATTAATAATCTTAAACACCTCAATCAAATCCACTCTAATATTCCTTTCTTCAAGAGAAAGCAATTTGAAAGATCTAAACCTATTCTCGTATAACAAACTTTCCATACCAGGTATCATACTAGTAATTTTCTATAAATCCTCTCTAACAATTTAATGTTCTGTATGAGGTAAAGAGCCCAAGACTGAGTAAAATACTCCAAATGTGCCCTAACAAATGATCTAAAAATGATATTACAACCTCTTTAGACTTATATTCAATATTTCTGTAGATATAACTTAAAATCTTATTTGCCCTGCTACTAGCAATAGTACACAGCGTGGTCACAAGTAAATACACACCACCTTTTCAGAAAAAATGAAAATTTTCAGTCATATTCATATGAATTGATATATTTATAATTTAATTAATATCTAGTAGATCTTCCTTTCTCTTTGTGGAATTCGTTGATCCTTTGGGGCATCGTGAGAATT